TGGCACGTTTGGGTAGCACCCATGTCTTAGGGCCTGACCCTATGGTTGGCCACAGAGGATCAGGCAAATGGGAGGTCAAGTAATGAAAAAACCCTCCACTTGGTACGAGCTCAAGCAAGGTCTACATGTAAAGGGCATCTGTACTTTTAGGCCCAGCACAGAGGAGAAGCAGACAAAACAAAATATCCCATGAATGATTTCAAGAAATACAGAATGGTTAGGTAGGGTGGCTTTGTTTGGTGAGCTTTCCAGAGCAGGGATGGCAAACAACCAACTCCGATGACTGGCAGGAGCTGCTCAGAGGACTGTGCTGGGAAGGACTCTGAGGTCAGGTCCAGGCCCAGAGGGAAGTGCGGTGACTAACAATGTCCACGGAGGGTGAAAGAGCAGCACCCGTGCCACATGGACACTGAGTGCCCAATGCCAGGAGAGGGAGAAGGCTGAGGGGTGTGGAAAAAATTTTACAACTGGCCAAACAGAAGTAAGCACTTCCTTTGTGGCGGTAAGCTACTAAGGACTTAGGCATCTGTGGCATGAGGGGCTGGGGCAGCATATGAATTGGGTTTCAGCCCCAGTTCTACTGGCACTGGATATCCCACTGTCCATCTGATGGCTCAGGGTCGGGGGAAGGGAGTCATTATTCATTAGGTAATACGTTAAGCGCCAGTGAACACTAAGTACTTTATGTACATCATGTTACTTCATTAACTCCTCCAAGCCTGTTCTCTCAGTCATGACCCGGGAGTAACGTCATCAGCGGGCTATGTGGATTACACAAGGTAACCAGGGTGCAAGCTCACTGTATACTGGAAACTGTCACAGAACCAGAGAGTGCCGGCGCAGTGATGGCTCACATTCTAGGCTTAATACAGTAGTCAGCCTCACACAGACTTGGGGTCTGATTCCAGCTTCACTACTTACTTGATTTTTCCCTACACCCCAATTTCCTCACATAAAATATGGACATAATATCTGCACTATCTCATAACAGTGCTATAGTTACAGGGGGCAGTGCACATAAAAAAGTGACCAGCAAGGTGCTTGGCACATAGTAAGTGCTTGGCACACCTGATGAATAATAACTGCTTCTAAAAATTATGATTCTTCTTGTTACTATTATTTTAAAAGATCAGAGCTTTGTCATGGATTTCTTTAATAGACTTCACTGAACTTTTCAGCCATAAAACCTGGCAGAACACTGGTTTAAGTGTGGGTCCTGCAGATCAAAGCCTGGCCCTCCCATCCCCTGACCTCAGAGACAAATGGCAGATGGTAAAACTGGAGCGCCGGCCACTTCTCCCCTCAGAGGACGAGCAGTTGTGCTGGCACCGCGGAGCATGGGAATCCCGACCCTCTGCCGTGTGCCCTTACGTACCACGGACTCCGAGTGGCTGGGCAGTTTTCTGTAGACTCAGCAGGGCTGCTGGGTAAATGCCTCTCACAGACACTTACCACTTAGAACTTGCCACAGGAGGCAAGCGAAACCCCTGCTCTGACTGACACAGGATGGACGAGCGGAGGAGGCCATCCATCAGTGTCAGGAAAGACCTGAAGCACCTGGCTAGTCAGTTGAAATAAAATAAATTATTTACTGATCTCAGGCTCTAGCCCCTCACTTGAATGCTCATAAAGGGCATGCTGATTGCGGCCACGCACTCTGTGGTAGGCTCCATTTCAGAAAGGAAGCATTTCTGGATTGCTGTGTCCAGGTTTTTGTTGTTGTTGTTAGACTGAAAGGGCATTATCATCTGCGTTGCAAGGAAGGAGGCTTAAGTTACATATCTGAACTCATGCACATGCAAATAGGAAATGAGTATATTTACTCACTGCATGGTACAGTACTCATGGGCAGTTTATCTGGTTGTCAAAAAATTCCTTAGGACTAATTAATGAAGTTTCTGCTTATAATGTTAAAGGTTGAACTTAAATCTTAACAAAAACATTCAGACATGTTTTACAAACTCCTCAGAGCTGGGACTTTCCACCAGAGGGCGCCATGTGTACCACTGGAAGCCTCCAGAGGTGACTGGGACCTGGTGTCTAGTCACTTCACTGCTGAGAACCACTGCTCTAGGGAGAGATGCTCGTATCAATGTCATCATCCATTTCTACCTGAGAAGTCTCCACTGTGGCTACAAGAGAGCCGCTACCTAATCTGAGTGATCTGGTTAATGATTTTCAAGATGGTGGACTAGGAGTTGAAAACAATAGGGACACTAAGTAGTAGTGACAATAATAACAACAGCTCTAAGATGAGCTACAGTGGAGAATACAGCTTCTCTGGGCCACTGCCATACAATCCCGAAAGGCTAACATAACTTGCATTTTCTAAATGACCAACACTAGGGCTGACCAGGGAATGGGCCTGTGCAAGGTGACAGTGCCTGCGATGCTGCGGTTCCAACCCGGCCCTGACTGCAGAGCTTGCGCTCTTCTCGCAGATCCTTCCACGATCTTTCCTTTTAAATGAATATACATGGCAGAATCTATGAACCTGAGTCTGGCTTTTTGCCTTCGGAAAAAGCAGGAGGAAGAAGCCCATGAAGCTGGTTAACTTTCGAAGGCGCGGCTTTCCACCTTGGGGGCCAGTGGATTTGCTGATTATGCTTACCTGGGAGAGTCCCTGCTTTGTCCCCTGCACCTTCACCTTGGAGGCACTCAGGCTATTTACTGAGCTTCTTAAACTAGGCCCATTCAGAAAAAACAGACCCTTTGTTACTGGGAAGATACTGCATTCAGGCACAGACAAACTGGATGTCTGAGTAACATTCTTATTTTAGTAAACTTTTCACCGAAAATATACCAACGGAAAGTACATAAATCTTAAGAGTGTATATGGCTTGACTTTTCCACAAAGTGTACATACTCATGGAATCAGCACCGAGATAAGGAACAAAATTTTACCAGTATCCCTGAAGATGCTCCTCTAGTCCAAGCTCCCCAGGATAATCGTCGTCATTACTTCTACACAGTAGAATATTTTTGTATATTTTTGAATGTTATACAAATGAAATCATACAGTATGTACTTTTACACCCCTCCACCCCCCACTTTTTGGATCTGGCTTCTTTTTGAACAATTTTTTTAACCACTTTATAACGATTTAGATCTTTTTTTTTTTTGTAAGGAGGAAGAAACAGTCTAGAGTGGGTAAAAACGGTGGGTTCTGTGTTTTGGTTCAAAGTTACTGGATGCTAATTCATGTATTTAGTTTGTCAGAATCACCATCATCTTTTTTTTCCTTAATTAAAAAAATTTTTTATTGACCTGAGAGAAAGAGAGGAAGGGGGAGAGAGAGAAACATTGATTTACTATTCCATCCATCCACACAACCACTTGTTTATTCTTGCATGTGCCCTGACCAGGGATTGAACCCACAACCCTGGTGCATTGGGACCACGCTCCAACCGAGCCACCCAGCCAGGGCTAGAATCACCATCATCTTAGAGGCCAATGAGAACTTGCTATGTGCCAGGTTCTTTTCTAAGTATTCTGTGTGTAATATGACATTTCATCCCCATAATTACCCTATCTGTGAGATAGGGACTATTATCTTCATTTTACAAATGGGGAAACTGAGACTGTGAATAATTTGCCTGTGATGATATAGCTAATAAATGAGTCAGTGTTTGAACCAGGCTGCTAAGTCCTGAGTCTGTCCTCTAAGCGCTTCTCAGTTTTGCCTTTCCACTAAGGGCTCTCATTCACAGAAGCTTTACCAACTGCCAGGCGCTATGCTAAGTGCTTAACATGGGCTATCTGACTTGTTCCCGCAGCAATCGTAAGAGGATGATATCACTGGCTTTCCCATTGAAGCAGAATGGAACTAAGGCTTAGAGAGATGAAGGCACTCGCCTAACATGGCTGGTTAGCAATAGAACCACAATTTAAATCAGCCGTGATTCTGACACTCCTCTTTTAATTACTATACTGTACTGTCCATATATTTCAAGCTCTTGTCGGTCAACTTGTGAAGAAATTATTGAGATATTTTTCAGGCTTTACTAAAAATTAGCCAGACTAATGCCAACATCAGAGAAGATTTTATAATGAGACACATACAAAGCATTTGTGAGAAACATGAAAGCCATGAGCCTTAGAGTTAGAACCCTTACACATGGAGCAAACAAGGCCCGGGAGGGGTGGGTTGGCAGAGGTCAGTGGCAGAGCCAGGGCACCGTTTGGGCCCTGTCTGAGCAAGCCAGGCTCCACCCTTGCTCCCCCTCCTCCCACTGCCCTTCGTTAGGGAGCAGGTGCAGCCACGCTGGCCAACCAGGGCTCTGCTCCTGATGCCACCACCTACCTGCTGTGTGAGCTTGAGCACGAGCCTGCGCCTCTCTGCACCTCATCTCCCTTCTCTGTTAGATTAGGTAGGGGCAGAAAACTGCTGTTTTCTAGGTAGTTAAGTAGTGCATGGAGAGCACTTAGCACAGTGCCTAATGCACAGTGGATGCCTATGAATGACAGCCATGACAACAATAATGTATTAATATTATGTTGACTACTATGACATTTTTTCTACTCCTGTTAGGTTGAAGTCAAAACAGAAATTTAGCATTTAGTTGGAACAAATTAACCCCAAATATTAGCTTAAATTTAGTTCCGAATTGTCTGGTGAGAATCCAAATACAACTTCTGAGATCATTAAAAAGCTTCCTGAATAAATGCATGAATGAACAGGCAATGAATTCACTGAGTATGAAAAGGCAAGTGGCAATGCTACAGAGCAGTTCTAAGGATAGCAACGTAGGAGAATTACAGAATGAAAAGAATTATGGGACTTCGCTGAAGTCGACCAGTTTGAAAAGAGTCTCGAGTTAGTTCTACTTCCTGTCTTCTGTTTTATACAACACAGATACTTTAACTTTCATTGTTTAAACATTTTCTCCAAAAACGTTAGTTATTCGGGTCACATAAAAGTTGTATGCTGTTTGTTTCCCTATTTCTACAATTGACCACGGATATGAAGGGCTCAGTTTATCATCTGTTCATGCACTTACCTAACTGTACATCCGTTGTGAATCGTAGTCTGTGGATCATGCTGACCTTGAATGACTTGTAATGGTGGCTGCTAAGCATATCCTGTACTGTAGCTATGTCAATTTGCGAATCCTCCTCAAAGACCCCGTCTGCCCTTGAACCTGGGGAGGAAAAAGCAGTTTAACACATAAAGATACATGAGGCTTGGCAAATGGTGTCTGCTTAAAATGCTTTGGGATAAATTAAAATAATATGGGCTATTTAATTTGAAGAAGAAAAGGCTGAGCGATGACTTAATAATGCCATTCCAGTAAACAGAGAATGGTAACATATTAATCATTCAACAATTAATTCCACAAACACTGCCTATTCTGTGGCAGGCCCTTGGCTAGGCAGTAGGGGTCCAGAGAGACAGAAAAACTCCTGCTCGCCGGAAGCACTCAGTCTCCACAAGAGTTAAGTCAAAAATCACAAAAGCATGAGTGGTCACATTTCTTGTTTCTTTTTTTAATATTAATTTTCCTGATCATAAAAGTAATCCATGTTTCTTTTTTTTTTTAAAGATTTTATTTATTTATTTTTAGAGAAAGGGGAAGGGAGGGAGAAAGAGAGGGAGAGAAACAACAGTGTGTGGTTGCCTCTTGTGCGCCACCAACCGAGGACCTGGCCTGCAACCCACGCATGTGCCCTGACTGGGAATTGAAGTGGCAACCCTTTGGTTTGCAGGTCGGTGCTCAGTCCACTGAGCCACACCAGCCAGGGCTGATCCATGTTTCTTAAAGAATCCCTGAGCTTTCTGAGATTCTCAAACTGCCTGTTTATCAGCTTGCTGTCCTGCACCCCATTCTCTGCTCTTGAGGTGAAGTCACATGTCCAAGGTCACGCTAAGCAAAGCTAAACTACCTCTCATTCTGCAGAGGTTGCAAAGCGGTCCTCTGGAGGTGTGGCTGCGGGTGCCATTCACCAGCACGAGGGAGCATCTAGAGATGGTTCCACAGGGACAGCCAGAGAGAATTCTTAGGGACAGTTGAAGTAGTGAAAAACTCTAGATCTGGGTATAAAATAGGAATATTCTGTTCCATAACTGGCAGCCTAACAACTACATACTTTTCCTTCCTAGTTATGGCTTACAGTGTACAGCAAGCTTTTATTCAAACTTGGCTTCTGATGCCTTCACACTGAATTCAACCATTAGGAAGTGTGCACTCCCTTTCCAAACATACAATTATTCCCAGCTTGGATCATGCTACAATAATGCTCTCCCCTCAGTCAGGACGGACGGAGCCTTGCCCTTAACAGGCCATTCGCTGAATACCTGTGACACAGTCCCATCTTAGAGAGTTTGCACATGTTGCCCTCTCTGCCCAGGTCACCCTTCCCCCCAGTTTACTGCCCAGGTCACCCTTCCCCCCAGTTTACTCCCTCCTGGCGTATTCCTCCAGGCCTGCTCCCTTATTTTTCCCAAAGAGCTTATCGCAGGTGACACTCCAGGGATCATTCCCTGATATCAGCCCTGCCCCAAGTCTAGTTCACCTCCTTTGTCAACACACCCTGCAGTTTTCCTTCGGGATAGGGAATACGTATCACTGAGAGTAATGATCTGTCTCTGCCATTAGGCTGTAAAGTTCAAGGGGACAGGCATAGTGACTGCTTTACTCACCACTATAGCCCAGGCCCTGCCAGTGCTACCATGCAGAGGATAAAGCAAGTGCTCAATAAAAATTTACTGGATGAATACCAGATGTCATGTCCATAGGACGGCGGGGATCAGAGAGGCTGAGTGACTTAACCAACGTCACTTCGCTAGGATTAGCAGAGTTGTACTTCACGCCCGCAAGGGCCACTGGGTAGCCTGTTTCCCTTCTTAGGAACACCTATGATACCATCAGCACACTCACCACCGTCTTCTGGGGAATGGCCCCATCTCAAACCGAGAGGCTGGCTAGAACGGACTGTTTCAAATAATCATTGACTATTTTACTGAAACAGAACCACCAAGATATATTTATTTCTATTTTATATCTAGACATGTATATGTGTGTGTGAGTGTGTGTGTGTATACACACACTCACACACATATACTACAGAGAATATGGGTGAAATAGTAAAATCCTTTCATGTTGTAAGAATCATTTAAAGCCATTTTTTTCCTGAGAAAATGCCAATATTAGATACTACTTAGCTCAAGAACTTCTATTTTCTTTACTAATTAATATTTTCTAAATATTTCAGGTATTTGATTTGGAAAGAGGTAACAGCTCATTATGTTAAAATGCCAATTACTAAAAAAAAAAACCCCACACTTAAGAGTTTTACATTTTATGATATTGGATTAAAACCAATTTAAAAATTACTATAACGTGACATATAATTTTTTACTGAGCAATTTCAATGCCAGCTGCTAATAAAGCATCTTAGCTGTAAATGATAATTCAGATGCTTTTAGATAAAGTGGTGCATAAATATGGTTGGAAATTGATTTAGCTTCTTACAGAAGCTACTGAAGAATGACATATTTTGTTTAATACACCAGCTAATGTAGTCCTAAAAGCTCAAACAAGTGCCAGTTTTCACTCCTAAATTTGCTGTGGGAGATTAATGAAAACTTTATATTTTGCTGAAATGTTAATAACGGGCAGACGAGATGATAGGATTTTAGTAGAGGTCTTAAAGCTATGGAATAACCAGCAAGCCTTGTCAATTTTCTTCTATTAATTTTGTTCAAGGCTTATATAGCTGGAGCTGGCTCAACATACTAATGCTTCTTGCACTGACCTTCTACTCTCTGACAGTGTAAATTCACATCCCATTTGAGGATTTAGGTCCCCTGATACTTGGGTGAGTTCTGAGCCTTGCCCCAGCCAACAAGGGGCATGTTTGCTTTTATGATTAGAAGGGCAACAGCACCTGGGGGAGCAGAGAAGGAAGAAACAGCCCTGCACTTGCCTCCAATCCCAAAGCAGCTTATCTGCTGCATGGGAACAACTTCTGGTCTCAGAGTTCCAAGGCAACTTCTTAAAGTAGCTTCAGAAGTACCGCTGCTTGGTGGGGGCCTGCCTGTGTGTACAGATCAGTCTGCCACGCAACCTGCACCTACTCTCCCTGGGCCAGCGGTATGCTAGGGTGTGGAGGACACATGAGGGTAAGGCAGGGTTCCTGATCTTCAGGAGCTTGCAGACTACGGACCACAGAAGAAACAGTACAAGGCACAGAGAGAAAAGCGCCAAGTATATGGTGCAGGCAACAGGCTCTTTATCTAAAGACAAACATCTGAAGCCGATCATTACACCAAAAGCATGATTTTGGACCAGAAAAGTTCTATGACTGTGCATAGGCACCTTTACCGTTTCCATCCTTCTAGAAAGGAGCAAACCCAACCTCACATGAAATATGCTTGGCACTGTATCATATGCATATTAAAATTATTACTGTACTATCAACTTCACATTTAAAAATCTACCTCTGTTCAAGAGAAGACATTTTTATTTACTCAAAGTAAAAAGTAGAGAGAACCACAACGTCTTAAAAATAAATATATTAACAAAAACACTCACCAACCTGTTAATTTAATTGAAATATTACCCTTTGGTATTTTGTTAAATTAGCAATTAAAAAGGTCACAAGCAATTAAATGAAACAAAAGCCACACTGTGTTCATCTACATTAATGCTGAACTGGGTCTGCTGGTGAATGACAAGATAAATTATAATGGTGCCTTCAAAGACTTCACAATGTATTTTGTCAAAGTCGGGAGTGTTAATGTCTCTATGTGCCATGGATTACCATAATGTATTGTGTCAAAATGCTCGAGCTGCAATAACTCAAAGATGTACTGTGATAGATCAAGTTCTGGGCTAGGGCCTAAAAGTGACTTGAGCACCAGATCGCAAATGGACTGACAACAGGCTCTGGAAGCATGGCAGAGAGTACGCTCACAATGTGGAAAGGTGTAAGGGATGCGGAAAGTCTAAGGGAAGAGGCTTAACTCTCTAGACTAAGGAATTAGGAAGGCGCGAATGGGTAATGGTACCAATCTTAATGGCAAAACCAGGCCAGGGCAGGAGCGGGCCAAAGGGAAGCAGAGCTGAGGTGAAGGAGGGGACAGGTACAGTCTAGGGCTTGCAACAAAGGAAGAAAAAGGAAGAAAAAGAAAGAAAAAGAGGAGGTACTGAGAGAGCAAGGGCTGGGACTTGGCCTTGAGGCCTAATAAGCAGTGATGTGGATTCAAACCCTCATTCTGACACCACGGGCGAAGACTGGGTCAACACCTTGTCCAAGATCCCACTGTCGGGCAGAGGCAGAGCTGGGACAGATCTACTGGACCCTGGAGTCCACCATGTTCCTTCTGCTTTCCTCCTTCCCTTCCCATCTCACCACCTCCTACAAGCAGCAGCAAGGAGAGAGTCGGCAGGTAACCGTAAACTCTAAACCAGTGTAGCCCGGGCCCCACTGGGGAGGAAGGTCCCCAAGAACCCTTCAAGGGTCCATAATCTCAATACTATTTTCATCATAATAACAATAAGACATTATTTGCCCTTTTTGTGCCTATTACAAGTATACAAGTAATAACAAATTCATTGATATGGTTCTGAGTCCACATTGTAAGTAACCCTTAAGAAACTATCATTCAAGTTGTGGTACAGTAATGAAAATTAGTATCCACTATTACCAGAAAAGGCTATTGAAATACTTCTCCAGTTTCCAAAAATGTATCTGTGTTAGGCCAAATTTTCTTCCTATATTTTAACTGAAACAATGTATTGTAACAGAATGAATGCAGAAGTAGATATGCAAATCCAGGTGCCTTTCATAAAGCAAGACATTACAGAAATTTGCAAAAATATAAAACAATGCCCACTGGTTCAGGTGATTAGCCAATAATTTACCTTACTGATGGGACAAAAATAAATGCTCTTCAGGGAAAGGAAACAAAATAAAATGGTCCCACTCTTCTCATTAAATTTTTAAAACAGTTATTTTTCATAAAAATTTATGTTAACATGTAATAAATTTATTATTGCCTTTTTAATGAATTCATAAATATTTAAATTTTTCTGTTTTTATCCCTAATGAGCAGATATAACACAATAAACAAATGCCCTTTGGGGGTCCTTAATAACTCTTGAGTGCAATGCAGTCATAAGACCAAAAAGTTGAGGAC